GCATTATCAAAACTAATAGAAAACAATCCATAAGCATGCAAAGTATTTAAAATACTTGCAGCAATAGTTGGGCCACTATATGGCCATTCAAGCCTAGTAAACTTAAAATTCTTTTATTCAAAAGCCAATTTTCATGAATGAAAAGACTGGTAACACAAATATAACTAACACTAAATTTGGATGTCCAAACATCCGAAATAATTGCAATTTTAGAATTAAGATTTGCTAACAAATAAATTGAATTTTGTTTATATGAATAAAAAATTTTTAAAGCATCAATTCTTATAGTATTCTTAGAAACTTTTTTATATTGTGGGTTTACAGAACTACGCAACCATTTTTCTAGCTTTGGATCTTCAACTAATATAAATGGTTGTTCTACATATACAATACACTTAGCAGGTTCTTGTCTCATTTTTTCTTGTGAATATCTAAAAGTACCATAACTAGTCCCCTCCCAATATGTGTTTGGATTGTTTCTCTCCCTTCATCTTCCTCTCGTTCATGTGTGAGTAGATGTCTGCTCAAATGACCCATACCACCCTTACTACAATAACTAAAGTCTTTCCTACATTTTGGGCAAACGACCCTTTTTCCCTTCCCATCAATATCCTCTACTTTGAAACCCTTCCAAACCGAGCTACTCAGCTTAGAAGCCCTCCTTTTTCCCCTAGTATCACTACTACCGAGGGTGAAAGTTCCACTTCCATCGACATCAATCGCATCAGTGCTAACACTATCGTGATGCGATTGAATGTCATCCATGGTGAACATGTTGGGGAATTGGTTTTCAGAAGAGCTGATTTTTTATTTTTTAATTCTAAAAAGATAAAAATTAATCTAATTCAACTTACCCGAATTGCCGGTTCAAAATCCCAACTTGATTTCAATGATTGAAGCCTTTCAACATCCAAGCCTCCCAAATTGAGATGCTTGAGCTGGTTGAGCAAGCCTTCTTCTTGTTGAAAGTCAAAACTTTGATAAAGTTGAGACTTGAGAATTGGAGAATGCAGAATTAGACAATCAGCTAATCAGAATTTCTCAGATTGTAGATAATTGAGAATGTATGAGTATGAGAAAAAGAGAGAGAGAGAGAGGGAAGAAATTAAGAGAATTGTTGAATTGGTGTGATGAGAATGGTGGAGAATAGGGCTATTTATAGGAATTGAACATAATTCAATTGCCCAAAATACCCAAAAAACTATCTGTTATTTAGTTGTTGGGAGGGATATTTTGGTTATTGTAAAGTTACTTATAACTTTACCCAAAATGTCCCATTAAACTAGTTATTATATAGCTGTTAGGGGGCATTTATGTCTTTTTTTCAACCCCCATAAGCAAAATACAGAAATACCCCCCTAATATGGTTGTTTATAGTGTTGGGGACGGGGATGGGGGTATTTCTGTAACCCCCCCAAAAGCTGAAACTAGCCATTGGGCCCCTTTGGGAGGGGGGCAAAGGGCCCAACGGCWATATTCCCGGGCGGGCCAAGCGTAGCCCGCTACGGGCCTAGCAGGCCATGCCACACGGCACGTGCTGTCGTGTCGTGCTATATTGGTCCATGGGTCTCAAACCCCCGGCCCAACACGGCACAAAGCTCCATGCCGGGCCTAGCACAGCCCGTGGGTCTTCATGCGGGGCCACGGGCGGCCAGGCCCGATTTACACCTCTAGGGGTAACTTTGGCTATTTGGGAACAGTATGCTGTTGAGAATGTTTTGGGCTGGGCTTGGGCTATGCACGTTCACTTATTTACGTTTCATTCCGAAAAACACTCATACGCTGTTTGCCCCCAACAGCCAAAGTTTTTCCGGGGTGGGGGGAGGGGGAGTGGACTCTTAACAGTATTCAGAGGATAGCAGTCTAGCAGAGACCACCGAAGGCTAAAACAAAAACTGCATTTGAAGGAGATATTTGTGTTCAGGGAGTCATGCGCCCAGATAATATGAGATGGAAAATGATGGAGAGAGAGATGGGATGCTTGGGACCCACCACAAAGCAGAGCGACCAATAAAAGCTCTTAAAACTCCTATCCAAGTACCACGTCAGCACTATCCAGATGGAAGGAACGAGTGGTCACCAGCATCCAGACTTGGGAGGAGAAGGATCTCTCGCTCCTCAAACTCGGAATTATCTCACCTGAAGAAAAATAGAGGAAAAAAAATAAAAGAAATTAAATTAATAAAAATAATTACATGTTCATTGGCTCACTCACTGTCACTTGTTTAATAGATATCTGTATCTTCTTCCTTCCATTTCCAAATAAGTGGCGTCGGAATCTCTAGTCTCCCGAAGAAAGCATAAGCAAAAATCTTGAGAGAGGTTCAGAAGCCATGGCCTCAACCTCTACCACACTTTCCCTCTCCTCTTCGTCCACTCTCATTGACGGCAAGGCTCCTCGTCAATCCCCGGCAACATCACCCCAATGTGTCACCCTCCCCACACTCCCCCCACCGCCGCTACCTTCTCAGAACCGTCCGCAGGGCCGTGACATGGGGAAGACGACCGCTTATTGTACGTAACATCACTCACCTTCTCAGATCCATCCCGCCCTCTGTTTTTTTTTTTTTTCTTTCTTTCTTTATTATTAATTTTGTTATTAGTTTTCTTTTTTTGTGTGTTGGAAGGGGGGGGGGGGGCTCTTGAAACTACTAATGCTGTTACATTATCTGAAATGAGAGTGGTCTTAATATTAGATACCGATAATCGCGCTCTTTCTTTCAGGCCGTAAGATTGCCCGTAATGTCGTCGCAATGGCCACCGGAGAAACGTCTGCAGAAGTTGCTGCAACTGAGCTGCCGGAGATTGTCAAAACCATTCAAGAAGCAGTAAGGGCTGATCTTTTCTTATTCACATGTAATTTTCTAAAGTTGTTTGATTTTGGATGAAGTGTCCGACTATCCATATAATAATTGAGCAGACATTGTGACGATGAAGCTAAGCGTACATAATCGGATCAATTGCTTGATTAAAATATGTATGTTTTATATTTACACAGTGGGACAAACTAGAAGATAAATATGCGGTGACTTCTCTTGCATTAGCTGGTGGGGTTGCACTCTGGGGATCCACTGGGATGATCTCGGTTAGTAATATATGCATTTCACATTTTATATTTTTTTGAATTGGAAGGATTCAGTATTTCTGTCTGCTTAATTTTCTATCTGATTAGACATGATCAATAAATTAAATAACCATGATCCTGTTAAAAAGAGAAGCTTGTGAGTTTTAATTAACGTTTACGAAATCGTTTTTAACAGGCGATTGATAGGCTTCCATTAATTCCCGGGGTGCTTGAGCTGGTTGGAATAGGCTACACTGGGGTAAGTTGATTCTGTTGAATTTTCACTCTTATGACACACATTCCTGAATCCTGAACAGAACTCATGACGATCTTATTGACTAATTAAATTCTTGATTTTTGAGAGCTAATAATAATACAGGCATCCGTTTGTTTTTTTTTTTTTTTTTTTGCGTCTGTCTCTTGAAAGTTGTAATTCCTTTTTTTTTTTTTTTTTTTTTTTTGCGTCTGTCTCTTGAAAGTTGTAATTCCTATTTATTTCATTTTATTTTATTTTGCAGTGGTTTGCATACAGAAATCTGATTTTTAAGCCAGATCGGTAAGCATCTGGTTTTTAAATTAAAACCCTTAGAAGTGGCTAATTTCTTTCGTCTTCACTCTTCTTTGGATAATTAATGAACTAATTGCAATTACGTGTGGTGAATGAAATTCCAGGGAAGCTCTGTTCCAGAAAATTAAAGACATTTACAAGGATATAATTGGGAGCAGCAGCTAATCGAGTTATATAGAACAGCAATTATTGTCATCTACCAGGAGGGAAAATGGTATCCACTGTTATATTTATTTTTGTTTCACATAAATTTCGTCTAACCCAAAGCAATTGTATCAACCCCATGCTACTACTTATGCTCAACATAAATATATATATGTCTCTTTCCCCCTATCTTTCCTATTATTATCTGCACTCTTTTCAGGCATCCTTTTGAGTTCTGAATCTCCTTTGGTAAATTATATTTATAACTCTCTTTAGTGTTAGAGGAGTAAATACTTGAACGTATATAATATAACTGGGGGATTATGATCAATCGTTCAACAAATTCAACAATGAACTCCCAAAAGAGGATTACAAGGAAAAAAAAAAGGTAAAAGCTTACAGTAATGTTGATGTGCTCAGGTTATTATATCTTCATCTGTAGCTGTTCCTCCAATGCCTCCCACACTAGCAATTACTGTTAACTTATTTTGAGGTACGAAACGAGGGATAATAGGCTTAATGCTTAACCAAATGAAGAGGTAATGTATAGAGTGGATTCACAATATTGAATCCAATAATTAAAAATGGAGGTTATGGATCATCATCTTTATCAAATTGCACCCAAATTAGAACTTGGAGAAAGGAATACGATTTGCAGGTTGGAGCCTACAAAGTGTTAAGATTGGAGTACCGATCGATAGGCCCAATGGTCCAGCTCGACGTGAAATGTGGGCTTGGTCGGGAATGGGCTGCCCAAAACAAAAGCCCTTGCATGTTGTATGTTGTATGTTACAGTCAGCTAAGCCTAAGCCCCTTCCCTTGAAATTGCAAATAGCAAACCCACTTACGACTTATCTACCCACAGCATCAAGCCTATATACTAGGAGAGTGCGCCTTGTATGACGTAAGGGAGATGAAAGTTAATGGCATTGATGCAAGGGTACTTGGAAGTGATCATACTGAGCGTGGCTCCAGTTCCACCACCAACGTCCATCACTGAGTTGAGACTCTCGAATCCCTTGTACATGTCAAGAATCTTCTTCATGGTTATGGTAGAGTGGTGTGACATTCCCTTATTAAACACTTCGTTGAATCTGGGGTCCTTGCCATGAATGGGATTCACCACCCCTCCACAACTGCTTCTTTCAAATGACACCTACATATATTATTTATTTATTTATTTATTTTACGTCACCCTCTGCTCTCTGCTGCTGCTGCTAAAGCTTAACAAAACCAAATTAACTAAAATTCGGATTCCCCCAATTACACATCTTAAACGATTAAAAGTTGGCCAAAATTAGGCTAACAAAACCAAATCAACAAACATTATTAATAAGATCTGTCAGTATCACTATTCCAACCACCCACTCTCACATTAAAGTAGGGGTGTCAATGAACCTGTTTTGGGTCGGATCCCGTCCAAATAAAAAATCAATTTGGACGGACTGGATGGACCAATCTAAGACATATTGAATTAGACCGGTTCAAAGTATTTATTGCATTGGATGGGGTTTAATCCATGCATCCATAATAGATTTATATTGGATTAGACCAGATCCGGTCCAATTGACACCCCTCCTACTTTAATTAAAGAGACTGGCCATTGGCCAATCAAAATTAAGTTTGTTTACCAATTCCCTACGTGGCTAGGTCCCTTACCAACTTTCCATGAGAACCTTATCTTGATTCATTAGAACCAATGGAGCCTGATTGTGCACGACCTGGATGCTCCTACCTGGAGGGTAGCTCCAATATCACCTACTTAACTGGAGGGTTGAACTGTCAAACGAACAACTCAGAGAACCTAGGGTGGTTAACCAGGCGAGGTCGTGTGTACCTGGGTTTTGGGAGGATGATGCCCTTATATAGTTGCGTTGTCGTAGGTCTCGCAAAATGCTCCCGGGATCCTCGGCCCGAGACGTTGGGGTCCATTTCTGGAAGGCGAAGATTCTGCTAACTGACAAGGGTTATTGCTTCCCTCCGATTCGGATGGGATAAGATTAATACCTACAGTTATGCGTCGTGATCCCGAGAGGCTCGGAGACAGTTGTTGGTCTTCCAGATACCCACCATGTGTCACCTTGACAAGTGGAATGACTTGTCGGGGCACCTCGAGGGTGTGAACCCGACCTGCAGAGGTGGTCGGGGGGAGACCCGACCAGCTGAGGTGACTGGGAATGCTAAGTTAATCTACTAAAGAGTCGAGGATGTTGAGTCACGCGTCTAGTCACCTGATTGCATCCACGTGTCCGTTGTTTACTAGGTTAGGCCAAATCACCCCTCATCAGTTGCCCCCCACTTCTCGTGCCAGGGGACCTGACCTGCTGTGGGGAGGTCACGACAAGGCTAGAGTGATTTGGCCCATCTCCTTCTGGGTCAGCATCTTGGCGGTCCATTGTCAGCGACCCACCCGGTTCGACTGTGTACCCAAACCGTGTGTCAAGAATGCGCGGACGTCATGCGGATTCCAAAATTTCGCAGATGCCAAAATATGCGTTCAGTTGTTTTCGTCTCGGGGAGCGCGTGACCRGTTTGAACAGGAACCATTGAATGCTTTAGATCTGGACCATCCATGATCGGTTATCCCGATTATGAATAGGGGCCTTGGGGATCCCATTTTTTCGCCTTGTACTCGGAATTGTCATGTTTGGAGATCGCGCCTTGGTGTCCAGGTCGTTGATGTCAAGGTCGATAATGTCTGCCTTTATGTCCGAAGTCACTTTCCTTTCTCTTCGGGGTTGCTTTTCCTTCTCCTTGGGTAAGTTCTCTTTGCTCCTATTTGCTCCTTTGTTTTAGTATGAGTGATAGTTTTTCCCTTAGTGATAGTGAGTCCGCCAGTCCGGGAAACCTCCTCGGCTAGCAAGTATGAGTCCGGGTCCTGCTTGGCCTCCGTAGCCATGGCCTTGGTGACTCCGATGGTGGTGATGGCGCGAAGGTCAAGCTTGGGGAACTTGTGGTTGGTCAGCCACCGGCATAGCTTGAAGCCCTTTCTATAAGCCCTAGTACCGATTTTTATTTTCATCTCGAGGAACGCCACCGAACTCTGATACTCCGCAACAGCAGCCTTCCTGGCCTTATTTGAAGCAATGGAGTACTTTCGTTTTGTTCTCTAGATCCAGGTTTACTTAGCAAACTTGTCCTCCGAGTGTAGATTATCCCGAGGTGCCAATCTGGAGAGCTAAGCATAGGAATAATCCAGAACTAAGATAAGTCGAGGTATGTGACACTATAGGGCATGTGCCCTACCTACCTGCACACTGATGAGGTTGAATGTGACCTAGTTTCTATTTAGCCCATGCCGAAGATGCAACTAGGTCTTATGTAGCACCGAGATCTTTTATCAGCTCGGTGCCTTAACCCTTGGGTTCTGGGAGCGACTCATAGTCCACTCTTCCATGTACCCTCTAACCAGCTTAGTGGTCCTCAGGACTTAATAAATTTCCGTGGATGCCTGACTTACAAGCTCATATGTAATATCTCCTTAGGTTCTCAATGTTCTAAGCGCAGGGTACTTACTTTCCTTTCACCGTCTTGAGCTCATACCTGCCTTCGCCGAAAACTCGTCTCACTCTATACGGACCTTCCCAGTTCGGACCGAGCTTGCCTACGCCGAGCTCAAGAACTATTACCTTCCGGAGTACTAGACCACCAACTCGGAACTAGCATCTCTTGACCCGGGCATTATAGTACCGAGCTACCCATTGTTGGTAGGTCACAACCCGGATATAGGCCAGGTCACATATTTCATCGATCAAGACGAGGTTGGTTTGCAGTTCGTTAATGTTGACTTCTTCATCGTATGCCTCAAGCCATAGGGTTGGTACTTACTTCAATCTCAGCTAGAATCACAACCTCTGTTCCATACGTCAAATTGAATGGTGTCTCTCCCGTCGCAGTCTTGATAGTCGCTTTGTAAACCCAAAGGACACTGGGCAGCTCGTCCACCCACAAACCTTTAGCTCGTGCCAAGCAAACTTTCTGTTTGCGGAGGATGGCCCTGTTTGTCACTTCGGCCTGTCTGTTCGCTTGAGGGTGTGCCATCTAAGTGAAATTCTGTTGGTTCCCCATCTTGGCACACCATTTTTGGAACCTGATGTCCTCAAATTGCTTCCCGTTGTCCGATATCAGCACCTTGGGTAGTCCGAAGCAACAAACAATGTTCTTCCAGAATAAGTATTGCATGTTTCGGGCTATGATCGTTACCAGCGGCTTGGCCTCCACCCACTTTGTGAAGTAGTCCATTACCATGACTAGAAATTTCTTATGTCCAGTTACTGGCGGGAGTGGACCGAGAATATCTATCACCCATTGAGCAAAAGCCCACGGGTTGGTCAAGTACTTCAGGTCGGCGGCAAGTTGATGAAGGATGTTGGCGTGCTTCTGGCATTTGTCGCATTTCTTGATGAGCTCGAACATATCCATTTTCATGGTGGGCCAGTAATATCCTTCCCTAAGTGCCTTTTGGATGAGTGCCTGCCCCCTAAGTGTCCTCCACAAAGGCCTTCAAGGATCTCATGGAGTACCCAGTCTGTTTCTGAAGGCCGTAAGCAACGTAGGAAGGGGAGCGTAAAAGATCTCCTAAAAGGTCCCATGGAGCAGATAATTGATGAGCGGGTCAATCCAGCTCGGTTCTGCTGTCAACACAGGAGCAACCTCTTCTACCCCTCTCTCAATACTAGGTCGTGGCAGGCTTTCTACATGTATATCATTCTCATGGTGTTGTCACTGGCGTTTGCTAAACGTGATAAAGCGTCGGTCTTATTGTTATCTGACCTCGGTATTTGTTAGATAAANCCGTAAGCAACGTAGGAAGGGGAGCGTAAAAGATCTCCTAAAAGGTCCCATGGAGCAGATAATTGATGAGCGGGTCAATCCAGCTCGGTTCTGCTTGTGCTACGGGAGCGACCTCTCCTCCCCCCCCCCGAGAATGCTAGACCGAGGTAGGTCTTCTATGTATATCATTCTCATGGTGTTGTCACTGGCGTTTGCTAAACGTGATAAAGCGTCGGTCTTATTGTTATCTGACCTCGGTATTTGTTAGATAAACCAGGAGAGGAAGATCGACAGGAGTTCCCTTACCATGGCCAAGCATGCCACCATGGTAGGGTCATGAGTTTCATACTCACCGTTCACTTGGTTCACAACTAGCTGGGAGTTGCTGCATACTATAATGTGCATCACGCTGATCTCCTTTACTAAGTTCA